GACAGAGCAAGACTCCATCTCAAAAAAAAAATACAGTAGTCCCCCCTTATCTGTGGTTTTGCTTTCCCAGGTTTCAGTTACCCGTGGTCAACTGCAGTCCAAAAACATTAAATAGAAATTTAATAGAAAAAGAAAATTCCAGAAAGGAACAATTTATACATTTTAAATTATGTGCCGTTCTGAGTAGCGTGATGAAATCTCACACCCTGCTCCATCCTGCCTGGAAAGTGAATCATCCTTTTGTATCCATGCTATAAATGCTTAGTAGTTGGCTGTCACAGTATCACCACACTTGTGTTCAAGTAACCCTTATTTTACATGACAATGGCCCCAAAGCACAAGAATGGTGATGCAATTTGGACATGCCAACAAGAAGTGCTTCCTTTAAGTGAAAAGGTTAAAGTTTTTGACTTAATAAAGAAAAAAAAAAAAAGAATTGTATACTGAGGTTTCTAAGATCTATAGTAAATAAGGTATTTTAAGCGAGAGGGACCACTTTCACATAACTCTTATTACAGTATATTGTTATAGTTGTTCTATTTTATTTTATTTTATTTTATTTTATTTTTTTTTGAGACGGAGTCTTGCTCTGTCACCCAGGCTGGAGTGCAGTGGCCAGACCTCAGCTCACTGCAAGCTCCGCCTCCTGGGTTCACGCCATTCTCCTGCCTCAGCCTCCTGAGTAGCTGGGACTACAGGCGCCCGCCACCTCGCCCGGCTAGTTTTTTTGTATTTTTTAGTAGAGACAGGGTTTCACCATGTTAGCCAGGATGGTCTTGATCTCCTGACCTCGTGATCTGCCCGTCTCGGCCTCCCAAAGTGCTGGGATTACAGGCTTGAGCCACCGCGCCCGGCAGTTGTTCTATTTTATTATTGTTAATCTCTTACTGTGCCTAATTTATAAGTTAAGCTTTATCCTAAGTATGTATGTATAGGAAAAAACGTAGTACAGATGGGGTTCAGTACTATCTGAGATTTCAGGCATCCGCTGGGGCTTTTGGAATGAATCCCCTGTGGAAAAGCGGGGACTACTCCACCACTGAACTGCCCGCGAAAAAGTGGCTAAAATGGTAATACCTGTACTATGTTTATTTTACCGTAAGTTTTAAAAAAAGAAAAAATGGCCAGGTACGGTGGCTCATGCCTGTAATCCCAGCACTTTGGCAGGCAGATCACTTGAGGCCAGGAGTTTGAGACCAGCCTGGCCAACATGGTGAAACCCCGTCTCTACTAAAAGTACACAAATTAGCTGGGCATGGTAACGCACGCCTGTAATTCCAGCTACTAGGGAGACTAAGGCAGGATAATTGCTTGAGCCCAGGATCGGAGGCTGCAGTGAGCTGAGATCAAGCCACCGCACTCTAGCCTGGGCAACACAGCGAGACTTGGTCTCAACAACAATAATAATAATAAAAAATAATAAAATTTTTAAAAATGTAAACAGTTCCGCTTTGCCGAGGTTCTAATCCCTCAGCTAGCTACCAAGGTATCACCTTTTTTCCCTTGTGGGCAGGCTTATTCTGGAGGTCCTTTGCCCACCCGCTTCCTGAACATCCTCCAGGGTAAATTGTTTCTGTAGCTTCACACATGGTATAAGGTATTCTACCTTTATCCAGAGCAGATACACATAGAAAAGGTACTCCACCCTTCTCTAAGATACCTGCTGCGCCCCTTTGCCAGTATGAACCTTGTCCATCATTCAAGGGCAAGACTCAGATCCCTTCCTCGCCTACTCATGAAGCCTTTGCTGACCCATTTCTCCCCACTCTCCGCACCCCCCCAAGTTTTTTTTTTTTTAGACAGGGACTTGCTCTGTCACCCAGGCCAGAGTGCAGTGGCATGATCTCGGCTCATTACAGCCTCCATCTCCTGGGCTCAAGGGATCCTCCCACCTTAGCCTTCGGAGTAGCTGGAACCGCAGGTGTGTATCACCATGCCTGGCTATTTTTAAAATTTTTTTGTAGGGACGGGGTTTCGCCATATTGCCCAGGCTGATCTCGAACTCCTGAGCTCAAACAATCTGCCTGCCATGACCTCCCAAAGTGCTGGAATTACAGGCATGAGCCTCCACACCCGGCCATTTCTCTCTTTTATCTCTTTTCACCAGAAAACTAAAAGTCTGAATTGTGTGCATTACCAGTCACAGAGGACACTGTCTTAGACTTCCACTGGTGTTGTCACTCACCTGTTTCTACACAGTAAAAGCAGGGAATGTCTGTCTAATGACAAATGTGACTGTGTATAGGAAGACAAAGGTGTATAGACCAACCATTGTTCCTCTCCCTAACTAGCACATGCTGAGAATAGTCAATAAATAACTGATAGTTTGGCCGGCCCAGCCTGATGATGAACTAAAAGGTGGGCATCCATTCTCAGAGTGCTGAGCAGTAGAGACCAGCCTCCACACACCTTCAGGGAACAATGAGGTTATGATGCTGGGTCTGTATCATCAGAGAAATGGAATTAGAAAGCCAGCAGAATCCCTTTCAAGGGAAAGATGGGTTTCTTTTTTTTTTTTTTTTTT